TCACACTCACGCACACGCTCACTCACTCACTCACTCACACACACACTCGCACGCACACGCACACACACTCGCACGCACGCACACACACTCGCACACACACACACACACTCGCACACACTCGCACACACACTCGCACACTCTCACACACACACACGTGAGACTCTGTCCTGGTTTGTCCGCCGCATCACGTGTCCAGCTTTCTAATATGAAAAGCTCTCACCTTGATTAATTGGAACTTGATGCTGGAATATCAGCTGATGTCTGTGATGACAGACGATCTGTTTGACCGAGTTTAGGGTACTGCAGATCATTGTGCAGACAGGAAGCCAGAATGAAATAAATTAATAATTAAATTAGGGATGCACCGAAATGAAAATTCTTGGCTGAAGCCGAACAAAATGAAACACTGGGCTGAAGGCCGAATACCGAACACGGTTTTTCAAATGTTTTCCCCCATGTAGGCCTATTTTGTAGGCTTATTATTGCATAAATTAAATAGCCAAAATGTGCTTTTTACTGTTTTGTCCTGCTGTTCAAATAAAAAAAATCAATTACAAAACACAATTTAAAAATATTTACTTAACACTGAACATTTTTTTTTAACATTCTAGCAGACATTATACCAACAAAGCACAATTTAACTTAAAATTAATAAGTTAGTAAAATAATATTTTTTGGCCATTTTTGAGACTTGAATCAGGCATGTATTTTTTACTGTACAAATAAAGGCAGCCTTGCTGAGTAGAAGATAATTCTTTTAAAACATTAGAAAATATTACAGATCCCAATTTGAACACTGAATGTTATTAATGTATTAATAGAGTTGTTGTAGGGTAATTATTATCATTATTATTGTCTTTTTTATTTTATTTTACAGAACAACAGTAAAATTACAATACTATCATTTATGAATGTCGATGGAGTTCTTGCTTCTCTCAGCTTTTATTTTGGCAGAAACCCACAGGAAGACCTCAGTGCTTCTTTTTGTTGACAGCATGCAGATTTATAAATTATTCTCATTATGAATTTGGGAGGATGTTTGTCGCACGTATCACATTGTCACATGCCTTTAAAAAAAATCACAAAAATGTTACTGAGCAACTGACGAGTAACACATTTCAGCACAGATTTTCCTCGCGCTTCGGACTTTGAACCCTGGCGCCGCGAGCTTGTGCAGCGCTGTCAGAATACATGCAATTCGTGCATGCATTAGAAAATACAACATTCTGCAGTTTATTTACTAATCGTTTGAGGTAATTTCGCGATTTCAGTCATCATTCAGTAGCCTAACCACCAGCATCAGCCACCTCTTCATCTCATCTGAGACGTGATGCAGCACTAAACAGTCTCTCACTGTCAGTGCTTTGTGCTTGTAATGATTTCTGCGTCTTTCTTTGATAGATTTAAATACTTTCACACTGCCGACATGTTTGCTGCATTAGTGCGTGCTCTATTTGATCGTGTTAGTCATTGTTCGGTACATATTATTCGGCCTTTTCACTTATTCGGCCGAACACCGAAAGAGATTTTTTTGCTATTTTCGGCCGAATAATTTCGGTTGCCGAACATTCGGTGCATCCCTAAATTAAATAAATAAATGCAACATCACTGGCATGTTTAAGGCAATTTATTGATAATTGGCAATTAATCAATAATATGGGTTCAAACTGCGTACAACAACTGACTCTGAATTGTGTCAACCACACATTTGGAAATTTACTATTTAAAGGGATAGTTCACCCAAAAATGAAAATTATCATTAATAACTCACCCTCCTGTTGTTCCAAACCCGTAAGACCCGTGTCAGCTGTGCCACGCAGATACGCTGTTTACGTCGTTTACGCTTTGATTTGAACGTAAACAGCGTATCCTCGTGGCACAGCTGACACAGAACAGCATACGCAATTTACGTTCAGTGGATATTCTCCAAAATGGCACTACAGGGTGATGCGGAGGAGACGAACTGTTGAATAAAGTGTTTTGTTTTTTTTCTTTTCTGCACAAAAAGTATTCTCGTAGATTTGTAAATTACGGTTGAACCCCTGATGTCACATATGGACTATTTTACCGATGTCCATGCTACATTTCTGGACCTTGATCATGTTAGGACCCTTGCTGTCTTTGCAGGGTCAGAAAGCTTTTGGATTTCATCAAAAATATCTTAGTTTGTGTTCTGAAGATGAACGAAGGTCTAACGGGTTTGGAACCACATGAGGGTCAGTAATTAATGACAGAATTTTCATTTTTGGGTGAACTGTCCTTTTAAACCTCCCATGTTATTATCTACTGACACCGTTGCAGACTGGTTTGGATCAAATTACAAATATTAGAGTGCTTGTTTGCAATTTTGAAACACTGAAAATCTTACCAAAGCAAACTAAGCATAAATGTTATTTTTTATAACCAGTGGCTTGCTAAAAACATTACCGATGTTAATGCTTTGCTCTCTGAGAACATGAGGACTGCTAAACTGAACTGACTGAGGAGTAAAGGACAAGAGCACTGGCATGCTTGTGAAGAGTTGTGTGTGTTTTTCAGAAATTCCTGGATGAGCTTCACGATCACGGGCAGCTGCACTCCATGTCTGCCTGGATGGAGATGTACCCGACCGTCAGCGCTGATATCCGCTTCAACAACATGCTGGGCCAGCCAGGTCTCTCTCTCTCTCTCTCTCTCTCTCTCTCTCTCTCGCACAAACACTCAGAGCGTGGCAGGCTTTGATGCTGATGAATAATACATGTAAAAGGGTCCTGTCCTCATTTCTGACGCTGTCTCCATTTCACCAGTACACTCTGTGAACTCCACATGACTGTGATACGTCAGCACTTAAATATATTATCCTATGATTAAGTCTACATTACTTAGCAGAATAGTTGCTTATTGTATATCATAATTATGATGAGTTGCTTTACAATATTGGTGTTTAAGTTGCTCAGTCGTGTTATGCTTTGTGTATATATATATATTTTTTAGGCTCCACCCCTCTGGACTTATTCAAGTTTTACGTGGAGGATCTGAAAGCTCGTTATCATGATGAGAAGAGAATCATTAAAGACATCCTGAAGGTGAGCGAGAGACTGTGACGGTCAGTGTTTCACATCAGATCAGTGCTGAAGCCCTTGATGAAATGTGTGTGTGTGTGTTTGTGCAGGATAAGGGCTTACTGGTGGAGATCAACACGGGTTTCGAGGAGTTTGGCTCAGTGATCAGCTCAGATAAACGCGCCACAACGCTGGATGCAGGAAACATCAAACTGGCCTTCAACAGTGTAAGCAGACTGCCCTGCTCTTATTTATACTCTTATTCAAATTAAAGGCAAAACGTTATGCTTTCCATCTGACATGAAGGCTGTGAAAGGTTTATTTGCACATAATAGAAAAAAGGGTTGACCCTGGGATTGAATACTTGGTAACCTAAGGACAAGAGAAAGGACGTAGGTGAGTGTGTCATTGAGTTATGAGGCTGTAACTCATGTACTACTAAACTAATTACAGCATAAGTATTTTAATGCAGGAAACTTGTTGGTTGGTGGAAGAACAAACATCAATAACAAAGAAACATTATTATGGCAAATAAAAGGAAAATATGGAAGAGAAAATCATAAAGACTGGGATATCTAAATGTTGAAAAAGCAAACTTAATGTACCAATGCACTAGTGCTGGGCGGTATACCGGTTCATACCGAATACCGGTGTTTATTTTTGTTATGATATGAATTTTTAAATGCACTACAATGCACTACTCAAGAGTTAGGGTTAGATTAAAAAATACTTTTATTCGGCAAGTGTGCAGTAATAGAAAGTGACAGTAAATACATGTATAATGTTACAAAATATTTTTCAAATAAATGCTATTCTTTTGAACTTTCTTTTCATTAAAGGATACTGAAAAGGTTTCCGGAGTACCATTATTAACAATTGAGCACTAATAATAATTGAGAACCAAATCAGCATATTAGAATGGTTTCTGAAGTGTGACGCTTATGACTGGAGTAATGATGCTGAAAATTCAGCTTTGCCATGACATAAAATCTACACTTAAATATATTCACATAGATACTTATTTCAAACACACACAAAAACGTATTCCTATCCACCTTTTTTTTGTCGTAAAAATGGGCGCAGCCATTTGTAAATTCTGTGGGTCTGGCTTCCGGTCTCATCTGCGTCCACTCCGTCCAGCTATTTTTAGCTGAACAAAACAGTTTGTTTTGCTGCTTGATATTGAAAGTTGGTGTGTCTTATATTATTTTAATGTATTATCTTATTTATAAACACACTGGTTTGTAGTGCAAACAGTTTTACCATTTACTGCACGTTGTTATTCTCCTCGTTATTTACTTATAGCGGGTAATAAACCGGAAGTCTCACCCATAGGCTTACTTCCGCGTTGAAGAAAAAGGTGGATTCTTAATGAGCTTTTGACCGGTAGTGCAGATTAGTGCACATATACTTTTAGCTTAAAGATATGGTTCTATGGATGGCTATGTCTGTTTATATATCATAAATGTTAAACTTCATGTAAAACATACCTCAGATTGTAAAACAAAGTCGAAAACAAAGGAGCAGTAGAATTAAAATCGGTCAAAAGGAAATTAGAGGAGGAAGTACAAACGCAAAATTAGTTAAAATTATATCAGTTAATGGGATATAAAACAACTTATTTTTAAGGCCTTCTGTTGAAATCCCCAGTTGTCAACAGTGAGTAGGTAGCGGATTCGGTCTGGTTCTGTTAAGCTGATTTTATTTTTGCAGAATGTTTAGTTTGGCTTTTTTAGTTCCATTTTGTAACGCACTTGCGTGCAGTTTGTCCGTGTGAGTTGCTGCTTTTGTATAACCATTCAAATCAGTTGCTTATGACATTTCAGCTTGAATTCTGTCTTTACTTTTGTAGACTTTAGAAATGATAGTCAGCTCACTAGAGTTTGGAGCGGAGCACAAGAGTGTTAGTTTGTATTTACTGATTAATGACTTGTGTTTGATGTCTTTGTGCTGGTTCTGTGTTTTTTAGTTGCTGGAGAAAGCTGAAGCACGTGAGAGGGAGAGAGAGAAGGAGGAGGCCAGGAAGATGAAGAGGAAGGAGGCGGTGTTCAAGAGCATGCTGAAACAGGCCACGCCTCCTCTGGAGCCTGAGGCCACTTGGGAGGGAGTATGTCATGCTATTACAATAAATATCAATGACTATATAATGACTATTAACTAGACTGGGTCCTCATGACGTGTTCTCTTCTTCTACTGATCTGGTGTGAATGATGTGTGTTGGTGCTGACTCAGGTACGAGAGCGGTTCCTAAAAGAGGCTGCGTTTGAGGACATCACGCTGGAGTCGGAGAGGAAGAGGATATTCAAAGACTTCATGCATGTGCTAGAGGTATGATAGAATTATGAAAATTTTTACAAGGCATTTTTTAAGCAACCAGGGCTGTGTTTCCCAAAAGCATCATAAGCTTGAGTACATAGTAGACCAGTGTTAATTTCGTCAACGAAGACGACGACGAAAAATATTCGTTAACAAACATTTTTTCTGTGACTAAGACGAGACGATGACGAGCTAAAACTAATATCTGATGATAAAAACTATGACAAAATGTATGCCGCGTCTTCGTTAATTGGATAGCAATCGGATGAGGGGCGTTTCCATATCTAGTCTCAGTATGGCAGCCGCAGTGGATGGATAGACTACCAAAACGCGAACGAGCGATCTGAAACAATGGCCTCAGCACCCGAAGGGTTAGGTATAAGGTGACCAGACGTCCCGTTTTTCCCGGGAGTCACAATTCGTTGTCAATTAACTTAAAGTTAGTGAAGGCGGGATAGGCGGAATCGCGCTGATAGAAGTTCTCTCGCACGCTCCACTTCTTCAGTTCTCATATACAGCGCGCGATCAGTTCTCAGCGCTCAAATACACACACAGCAGTCCAAATGTCTATGGTGTAGAGTATCTACATACAGTCGGTTATGGATTAAGTGAACGTAAACAGGTGGATGAAAACTGGACGCGTGTTAGTATTACATGCATGCCTTCCATCTTAAAGGGACAGCATTCCTAATTAAGTACCTATCCATGTCATTAATGTTAACCAACAAAAGATGTTAAATAAATATGTTAAGTAAACCTACTGTATCTGAAAAATGAGTTTAATTTGTATCTCTTTCGTATTTGTCTTATTGCCTTATTCTGCTTCTTTTTCAAAAATTATAAATATTATAAATTATATATATTATATTATGAACAACTATAATTTGTATACATTGCTCCCTTTTCACTACTGTTAAAGGATAGTTCACACAAAAATGAAAATTGTCATAATTTATTCAAGTTTTTCCAATCCTTGATTCAAATGTCTCATAAGCTTAATTGATTTGGTCTAAAGAGAGAAGAATTAATGACTATTTTTGTTTGAAGACTACATATAAAATAGCTACCAAAATAAATGTTGATAACTGCAGTTTGACTAAAAGTTGACAAATGTAATGACTTTTCGTCGACTAAAACTATGAAAGACTCAAAAGACTAAAATGTGACTAAGACTATTAAGCATTTTCATCTCAAGATAAAGACAGACTAAATAAAAAATGCCTGTCAAAATTAACACTGTAGTAGACCCATTGAAGCCAATGGAGCTACCATCAACTTGGGCTTACGATGCTTTTGAGAAACGCAGCCCAGTTTCATATTTAAAATAATTGATTCAGGGCTGGGTGTGTATTCATGTTCAGTAATTCGACATTTCAGAATTTTTCCTTTTATACCACATGTACCAGAGTTTGTCTTGTGACCTGCAAAGTTTTTGTATCTTAACTCTTTTAAAAGTAAATTAAACTTGGAAAGCCTTTCAGCTGATCAGAATCGGGTATCCAGTAACGCAGTGGTCATGTCTGTGATCTCTCTCTACAGCACGAGTGTCAACATCATCATTCAAAGACTAAAAAACACTCGAAGAAATCCAAGAAACACCACAGAAAACGTTCCCGATCTCGATCAGTGAGTACTTCCTCTAGCCATCTCATTTCATACCTGCAAACTCATCGGCTTTTGCCAAAATCTGCCATTCTGACATTGAAACTTTTCTGAAGACAGTCGGTTCTCTTCAGAGATACATTCATATAAAGTCCCACACATGGCCATTTCAATGGCTTTTTTATTTTCTTCTTCATAACTACTGTATAATGCCTAATACAATGCAGCACTGCTTTATGTACCGGGGTACCTGCTGTATTTCTGCATTCCCATATGCTTCACCTACTGTCAGAGAATGAATATGCATTTTTCAAAGCAGCTTCACAGTAATAAACTGGAGAATAAAAGAATCAATGATGCAAACTTCATTACATATGAGACAAATCCAAATGATGCTGTAAAGCAGCTCTAAAAAGTCATTATTCAGCTGCAGGCAGTTCAGTGTTGATTCAGTTCAATAGCTGTTCAATTACTGTGTAAAGTTCATCAATTATGAAACATTCAATTAAGCTTTTAGCAGCTCTATAGAAGGCAATGGTGTCGTTATTCTGCTCGACTCCGTTCAATGTTGATTCAATTTAGATCAACAGCAATGTTTCGGAACTGTCAGTTTTGAAACTTATTCGAAGACAGTAGTTTCCTCATCCATCTCAATTCAGTGCAAGTTTTGTTCTTATTAGGGTTGGGCCGATAGACGATGCCATCGTCCATCGCCGATGTCTGATAGACATCACGATGTTGAGCCGGCATCGTGATCCACCCCCACCCATACCCCCCGCAATCCGCCGCATCCCAATACCGTGTTCGGAAAGAAAATTACGTGTATACGGAACCCCTAAAGGGAATTAATATGAGATGGGAGGAAAATATATATATTTCAATATTTTCCCTCGCAGTTATATCATTGGGTAATGATAGGCAAACTTCTTTTGTATGCACGAACATTTTAGTTTCACTTTCGAGATTCGCGATCGCACATACTCTGTTTATACTATGGAGCGGCAGTACTTACCACACATTTTACAAGATTATAGGGTCGTTCCAAACAAAAGTGATCAACTGAATCCCTTCACGAAGGGCACTTCCAGAAGTCTGTTAGCGAAGGGAACTTGCGATGGTCACTTCACGGAAGTGATTTCCGTTTGTGATCATGTGATGCATTAAAGGATACTGAAAAAAAATGGTTTCCGGAGTACCATTATTAACACTTGAGCACTAATAATAATTGAGAACCAAATCAGCATATTAGAATGGTTTCTGAAGTGTGACACTTATGACTGGAGTAATGATGCTGAAACTTCAGCTTTGCCATGACATAAAATCTACACTTAAATATATTGACATAGATACTTATTTCAAACACACAAAAAAACGTATTTCTATCCACCCTTTTCTTGTCGTAAAAATGGGCGCAGCCATTTGTAAATTCTATGGGTCTGGCTTCCGGTCTCATCTGCGTCCACTCCGTCCAGCTATTTTTAGCTGAACAAAACAGTTCGTTTTGTTGCTTGTTATTGAAAGTTGGTGTGTCTTATCATATTATTTTAATGTATTATCTTAATTATAAACACACTGGTTTGTAGTGCAAACAGTTTTACCATTTACTGCACGTTGTTATTCTCCTCGTTATTTACTTATAGCGGGTAATAAACCGGAAGTCTCACCCATAGGCTTACTTCCGCGTTGAAGAAAAAGGTGGATTCTCAATGAGCTTTTGACCGGTAGTGCAGATTATGTGCACATATACATTAGTGCACATATACTTTTAGCTTAAAGATATGGTTCTATGGATGGCTATGTCTGTTTATATATCATAAATGTTAAACTTCATGTAAAACATACCTCAGATTGTAAAACCACACTTACCACACATTTTACAAGATTATAGGGTCGTTCCAAATGAAAGTGATCAACTGAATCCCTTCACGAAGGGCCCTTCCAGAAGTCTGTTAGCGAAGGGAACATGCGATGGTCACTTCACGGAAGTGATTTCCGTTTGTGATCATGTGATGCATTTTAAAGCAAAGTTGGGGTTGATTTCGACTTCACATACAAACGTAAGTAGAATAGACTGATTAAATTTGTCTTTATTTTAATGTGATACAAAATATTGTTTGTCAGTGATAGATATATTATTTAAGACGGTAGTGTAAGCAAGTTTAAGCACGTTTAGTTTGAAAAAGTTTAATCTTAAATAAGACTGAGACCATATAAAAAAAATTATAATAATAATGAGCAGAAATATTTATTTGCAACAATTGATGGAGTGCAGAATGCTACACGCATGCACAGCGTTGTCAAGGTAACATCTGGTCAGTCATCCCTTCGAAGGGATTAGGGCATATGCTCACTTCCGTTTGGAATTCGCCCTATATGTTTTTCAGTGGTGCTGAGGATCTGCAAATCATTCGCCATCGTCCTCAGTCATCTCTCCTTACTCTTGTTTATGTGGTAAGTGAAATTTTATGTACTGTAATGTAATAGGCAACCGTTACACCGTGTTTACACCGGACGAAACCGTTGTCGTGTCGCGCCCTCCGCTCCGCATCAGCTAAAGTCTGTCTACACTGGATGCGACAAGGCGACTGTTGAAAATCATTTGAAATTTGTGTCAGCACGTCATAAATAGAACGCTGCAGCAGTTTACTGTTGGGGATTTGTCGTGACGCGCCACGCCGCATCCAGTATTGACAGCATCACTGATTATAATGAGTTCTATAAACTGATCTATATATAATGAATCTCTATTATAGATCAGTGGTTCTATAGTATTTTGTTGCGCCGCTTGCGTCTGGTGTAGACACGGTGTTAGAAATCGTTATTTGTTTTCCGTGCCTTATAAGGATTCACGCTTCGGGCACACCCCCTAACTACACCCCACCCCGCCCCCGCAGATGTCATCATCCATCGCAATGTTTCACTGTAGACATCGTCCGATGCCAATTTTGTAGACATCGTCAAACCCTAGTTCTTATCCAAGTCAGACCAATTACAGGTGCATCTCAATAAATTAGAATGTCGTGGAAAATTTCATTTATTTCAGTAATTCTAATTTATTGAGATGCACCTGTATATACCGTATAAAACAATCATTTCGAATCTTTCCTTCTCTTAGAAAATGGTTTAAAGTTAAAATGTGAGGTTTGTTTATATACTTTTTGTCTGTTTTTGTCTTGTACTATTTGAACTGTAAAATTAGTTAAAATTATCATTTTACAGTTAAGGGTGTTACCATAAACTGTTATGTTTTGAAACAACGTTACTGCCTAAAGAATGTGTAGTTCTGTTCTAATATTAGAACTTTCTGAATAGATTTCATATTCTAATTCCAATACATTTTGTAGAAGACTTTAAAAAGTAGGCCTAATAAGGGAATTATTTGTATTATGATCCAGTCTGGAGTCGTCAAGTCACCTTCATTTATATAGCGCTTTTAAAAATACAGATTGTGCCAAAGCAGCTTTACAGTATCAAATAGGAAAATAGTGTGGAAGGTTGATCCATGCTGCAGCAAAGTTAGATTGTGCGGAGGACTCATCTGGTTCCTGTGGTCTTGTCCCAATGACCGTATAGGAGACAAAGTCTTCACTAGGGATCTGTCTCTGGGGCTCATCTAGTTGTTCTGGTCTCCGCTGACTCTTCTTACGATTTAACAAGTACATTGTGTGTTATTGGAAATGTTCCCAGTTCTCGTTGACCTAATTAATGCAGCCTAAAAATCCTTTAACTGGTTTGAGTAATAGAAATGTGTTAGTGTGTTATGTGTAAGCCAGGTTAAAGAGATGGGTCTTTAATCTAGATTTAAACTGACAGAGTGTGTCTGCCTCCCGAACAGTGTTAGGTAGATTATTCCAGAGTTTGGGCGCTAAATAGGAAAAGAATCTGCCGCCCGCAGTTGATTTTGATATTCGAGTCCGGCGGCCGCACGCGCTCCCCGGTCCGGGGCGCGAGGGGCGGCGGCTTCTTTCAGCTGCTTCGTCCTTCTCTCTGCCCACGGCGCTTGAAGGGACAGGACGGCCTGGCATCCTTGCCCGACGGCCATGTAACGAGTGCGATTCTCGTCCGGACTGCGGGTCCGGCAGCTCACGACTCTGGCGGCACAACCATAACTTCAGGCGAGCAGGCTCAGAAGTTGGGAATACGTTGGAAGTCACCACTCCTGAATGAGTTCGCGCGAGAGAATGTAATCTTTTAGTTTTTCGTCAGTTTGAACAATCCGGATAAGCGCAAGTAAGTACCATTTTGATTAGCCGTTGTACCTACAATGACTGTGCACTGTGTAAACAATGAGTAACGTATACGCGCGAGAGATCACTTCCGGCGCTTGCGTAAACTACGCCAGAGCGCGTACACACCTCACGCACCGGATGCCGTGCGCGCGCCCAAAGACAGTTGGACATAGTAGTGTATTAGAGGTAAAAAAAATGCACAAGACTAGATAATGATCTGAGATGTCATCGCTTTGCTGCAGAATTTCAACACCGTTAACATCAATTCCACGTGACAGTATTAAATCTAGAGTATGATTTCGACAATGAGTTGGACCTGACACTGACACTGACCCAATGGAGTTCAGAATGTCTATGAATGCTAATCCCAATGCATTTTTATCATCAACAACATGGATATTAAAATCACCAACAATTAAGACTTTATCTGCAGCCAGCACTAACTCTGATAGAAAATCAGCAAATTATTTAATAAAGCCTGTATACAGTAGCCAGTACAAACATCATAGGGGATTTATCATTAACACTCTTTTTCTCTCGATAATGTTATATGAAGCACCATTACTTCAAACGAGTTATACTTGAAGCCCGCCCTCTGAGAAATGCTGAAAATATTGTAGCAACACCTCCCCCTTTACCTTTTGGACGCGGCTCATGTTTATAACTGGGGATTTGAGGTATGCATTTACTCAAGACTCACTCTCACTCATCCTCCTAAACTGTGTCCTGTGTGTTTGTTCACGGAAGGGCTCGGAGTCAGAGGATGATGAGTATCACTCGAAGAAGAAGAAACGCTCAGCTTCTAAATCTCCATCCGAGCACTCGTCCTCTGGGGAATCTGGTCAGTGACGTTTAGGATCGATATCAGTGTCCTGCACAACACATCAATACTGAATACATCATGACCGTTTAACAGCAGTCTCTCAATGATCATCTGATCTTGATCTTTACAGAGAGGAGTTGCAAGAAATCTAAGAAACACAAGAAGAAGGGAAAGAAAAGACGACACAAATCAGTGAGTAGCGAACGACTCAAAACTCTCTAATACTTTTTCCTTGTGCATTTGATGAGGAATCTGACTTACTAAATAACCTGCAATAATATCCAAGTGCTGTGACAAGTTTTTTTTATTTTTTTTTTTATAAAATAAATAAAAAGAAAACAAGTAGATAGAATAGGGGGAAAAAAGAATATGGAACGCTCGTGTTAGAGGGTCTTTTTTAAATAAAAATAAAACTAGTAAAAAAAAAAAAAGAGAGAATGCTAGTGTTAGAGGGTCATTTTTTAATAAATAAAAAGAAAACAAGTAGTTAGGATAGAAATAGAATCAAGTGTAAGAGGGTCAAGTGTTTAAATAGAGTTAGAATAGAGAGTGCTAGAGTTAGAGGATCAAATGAAGATGGAATGCGGCGGGGACCAGTGTAGTCGGACTCGGAACAAATCTCTCATGAGGTATTAGTTTGTATCAGTTTGTAATGACTTGGACAAAATAAGTTACAATGCTTCTCACAGTGGTTCCCAAAACATTGCTGAAAAAGCTGTTGGACACCGTCTGTTACATGCCTTCTGTTGTCTAATTGACCTATCGGTAAGCCCCGCCCCCCTTAGTTACTGTTGCTCACTCGGACAAACAAACAGAGTTGCTCACTGTCTTACAATGACAGCTGTCAGTGAAAACCTTCTTCCGAGGTGTTTCTGATACACTTGGGACACAGATGGACCTTCAAGTGGGACTTAAATATGCAATGGAGGGATATATAAAAGATATTAAAATATGTAAAAATACAGATCACAATGCAAATGGGAGAATTATGTTACGGTCGTCACGATCGCCATGACAACATGCGGGATCAACACCGTTCATATACCGCAGAGTAAGATTAAATTAATTTACATTTAACAAGATTATTATGGAGAGGCACTCTAATATAGACCTTCGATTGTGTTTTTGAATTTCACTGCATAGTACATGACGTGAGAACAGTTCGCTATTTAGGTTTGTACGTTAACATGGACTCACTAACTTTAACGCTAACGTTAGCTAGTTTTAGCCAGAGATACCTTGCTGAAGCACAAGATGACATTAATGTTCTGCTTGAGCAGATGAAAAGTGTAACTTAATGAGAGTATGACAATCAGAAAATTAACGTTTTCGTCTTCATTGTGATTGTGGTTGAATGCTTAGGAACATTTTGCTCTGTTTTGGTTGGATTTAGAAAATGGAATAAAATAAATTACATCCACTCTCAGGATAACTGGAATCAGTGTTACAAGCACATCGTTTTTTCAATTTTTATAGCATAAACACCATTAAAGCAGCACTATGTAACTTTTAGCGCTCTAGCGGTTAATAAACAGAACTGCACACTAGAGCCCGACCGATATGGGTTTTTTGGGGCCGATATCGATATCGGACCCATATTTGGGAGTAAAAAAAAAAAATTTTTTGCCAGATATTCTTTGTGTATATTATAGTACAGTACCAGTCAAAAGTTTGGACACTTTCCCATTCGTGTGTCCAAACATTTGACTGGTACTATATATAGAATACAGTATATACATAAACAGAATATATATACATCACCACATTTGAGTGATCATTGCAAAAAATGTGTTTATCAAACACGTATAATGACGTGACAAAGATACGTAATGATGGAGGCAGGGCATTTAACAATTTAACAATAAACTTTATTCAAAATGAGTCTGACATCAGTGCACTGAACAGTAAAGTTGAAGTTTATTCAACTTTAATTCAATTCAATTTCATTCAACTTTAATCCGTTTAAGTTTTTCACTTTGGAACATTCATTCACGGATTTGCACTACTGTCTTCACACACAGACAGAACTTACTAGAGAAATGTGAAGTGTGACATAATTTACCTCTGTAAATAAATATAAATTCACGTCTCGCGCACTTTAATGCCCTTTGAATGCAACGTGTACGTTCCCTTGGAACTGGAATCATGGCTGAATATTATGTGAAGTCCACTTCGCAGGGCACTTACGGTCGAATAAGACAACGCTTGAATGCTGCTGCCTGAACAAGAGACCTCCTAATTGAAGTGAAAGTGTTGGCTGGTGTCACTATCTCGCGAACGCGCCGGCGGATCTCCACCAAATTCAGGGGATC